GGGGGGGGGGGGGGGGGGGGGGGGGTGAGTAGTAGAATTGGCTAATCTGGTCGAACGGTTTAGGATGAAATCAATAATTAAATAATGCAGGCGATGAATAAAACTACAAAGATTGGGGAACATTCATTTCTGGTAAACTAACAGAAAGTAATCGAAGTTTAAGTAGCAAAAACTCATTGTCATAGCATTTTTCGTGCGTTGATGATGTTCTCTTTAGAAGGTCACAAAAATGAAGAGAATAAGCTTCGGAAATCGTTTCGGAATGTTGAAAAGAGAGAGAAAAAGATGTCTCAACATGAAGAATATTTGGCGTGTCCGAGTAGTTTTGGCACTTTTGATAAATGGCTCCGACAGGGATCTCACTGAGACACTCATTTTTACATAAAACTTTGATAATTTGAAGAGAGAGATATTAAGTGCAAGAAAGAGCAATCAAATCATTACGAATCACCATGTAAACTTCCATACAATCAACAAAAAAGGAAAAGTTTACAAGGCAAACGAAAGAATTTTGAAGAAAAATCAATAAATGTTCGATTGGTTTGATAGGTTGGTTCTCGAAATATTTAAATAATAATAATTTTTGAACAAATTATCGATGAATGACATGAGAGAAAATAATAAAAGGAGAGAAAGATATATAATAATACATAGAAGGGAGAGTGAGAGAGAGAAGAAGATGAAGAAAAAGAGAATAAGAGAGAGAGAAAGAGAGAAGAGCGCAAAGAACAGTTTGTGTGTTGGAAGTTATAAAAGAAACGATCAATAATACAGAAGTCGGGAGAAACACAAGAAAATCTTCTTTTAAAATTAAATTTTTAATTTTGAAATAGCAGAAAAACTTCAATACAACAATGAGAAAGATAGTTTTGGGTTGAAAAACTGGTATTTAGAAGTTGATAGAGAGGGAGAAAGAGAGAGATAGAGAGTGGTGAGAGGGTAGGGATAGAAAAGAGAAACAAGTCAATTCGGTCACACTTTGTCATTCAACAACGTTTTGTAAAGGAAGGAGTTTGAAAAAATATTCAAAATTCATTTGTAATAAAGAAATATCGATTGGAGAGGATGATAAGGAAAGTTATTTATGGCATTTTCACGAATACGATGATGAATCTTTTGGATTTTTTCGAAAAAGTTTTCTCTCATGAAGTTAAAACTATGAATTTATAGAAATTATTCTTTCGGAAGAGAAAGACAGCAGGTGGATTGTCCAACATTTGTGCAAATATGGCCATCGCTTGAATGTTTTGTCGCTTACAAAGCTTTTCTTCATTTGGATAGCAGAGAGTATCGTAGAGCATCATATTCCATCAGAAGCTTCCTTTCTTTCATAGAAACATCGGTAAAATCGAGAGCAGTTTCATGGGTGGAAATAAGCAGAAAGACAAGGTCGAATCAAGAGGAAATCTAGTCGTTGATAATGTTTTTTTATCCAAAAAATACTTTTTGTGAGCTAATGGGAAATGACAGTTCAATTAATTTAAGTTCATATATCAGGACGAAATTTCGAAATGGGAGAAGAGAAAAATGAAAATCGAACGTTCGGTCGTTTCAAGGCTTCTGGAACTATCGGCTTCCAAGTCAAGGAGTATAAAAGGAAAAAAGGAGAACAAGCGATTGACTCAAAGACAGAAGAATGACATGAGAAAGATGAGCAGACGATGATGGAACGCCAGAGAGTTTGAGAGGGAATTTATGTCAGAATCAGAAGAAAAAATGAGAAAAAAAGAAAGAAAGAGAGAGAGAGAGTAGAGTAATACTTAAAAAGAGCAGAAAGGACAAATAAGTCGTCATGGAGTAATTGGAAAAAAACTATTTCTTAAAAGACAACTGGAGCGATGAAAAGAACAGAGATTGCATGCAACTGGAGAAAGGAATCAGCTTGGAACAGTATAAAATCTTTTTCAATATATTGTGGTAAGATTTGTTTCTTTCATGACTAAGTATGGACATGACTAGCTGACGGACTAAATAATTCAATCAACACACTCAGCCAGAGAAGCAAAAGCCCAGACAAGAAATGCTTAGAGAAGTATGGCAGACGGGGCTAGGAGAGAAAATGGGAAGAACAAGCTGAGAGATATGCCAATGCTATTGGATATGGAGATGTAATAAGAGTGATGAAAATGAAGAAAAAACGAAAAAAACGATAAAAGAAGAGTAGGAGAACGATCAGCACTGACCGAAGCTATAGTTGAAAAGACCAAAAGCTTGAGCTGTTCAAAGAAAACAAAAGTAGGAAAGGAAAAGAAGGAAAGGCAAAATTGAGAATTAAAAAAGAGAAGAGGAGAGAGAGAAAAAGAAAGAAAGGAAGAGGGATGATCAGGGAGTAAAATGAGAAGACGGTTGTAGGCAACGAATAGATCCAGGGCCAATAAAAACCCAGGTAAAGCTAAATAACCTCAACTTCGTTCTTTGCACTGCTTGACAATACACTGACAATGTGATTGAAAAGACAGAATAAGAGAATGACTTCCAACCTATTATTAAAAGTATATCACCAGACTTTCAAAAAAAAGAGAAAATCTTTAAATGGCCGACTGATGAGCAGAGCACACAAAGGCTTCTCTTCGTCAATACAGTTTGGTTGTATGGATTGGAAAATAACAAAAGATACACGTTTAGATAGGGAGAAACTCGGCTAGCTGACACATGGATATTTAAAAAGAAAGTGATACAATATTTTAGAAGAGTATTATGAAAGGAGAGAGAATAAGTAAAGGAAGTACACGCAACCTCCCCTCACTCCAAATAGACCAGCACATCTGACCGGAGGCAAGCGAGCTATTTTCTATGAATAATATATAACGTAAGGAAATAGAATGGAAAAATGTATGAAGAAGAGAGGTAGTGGGGAGCGAAAGATGAAGAGAGAGTTGACCTAAAGGTTTTTCTACACTTGCACAAAATAGTAGGCAGAATATTCGAAAATAAGTGAAAAAAATAACTGTGAACCTTAGTTATTAATGTATTACATGGATGGCGGAAGGAGATCGAGAGAGAGAGAGAAAGAGTCAGTAGGAGAGACATAGAGGGTGAATACAAACTACAAAATGTTTGGAGGAAAAGGATGACGAATGAGCAGGAGTGAAGAAGAACGTACCGTAATCGGATGAACGACGGAAAGCAGCCGTTGCGGCCATGTGGTGGGGGCTTGTTGAAGACAAAGATGAACGGGGAGATGAGCCCGATGAACGTGACGACCTGCAAAAAAAGCGATTAATTAAGAAAGTTAAAAATAGAGAAAAGGTAAAATGCCTGTGAGCAGACACAGAACCGATTGTATGCGACCGCTTCATATGAAAAATAGAAGAGAAATGGCGATAGACGATTTGATATCTTCCACGCTAGCCACGTGAATTATAAGAGGAAAAGAATGACCGAAACAAAAACATTTTTTTGTATTTTTTCTTTGTGAAAAATTCAAATTTGACAATTCTCAAATAGTAATGGAGAGTTTCTGGTTTTTGAGGTCAAATTGTAAACTTTTTTCCATTCAAAGCAATCGATTCTGTATTTTCGGAAGAAGAACAGAAGCAGAACAACAAAAATGGAATGAAATAAGGAGAAAATGTCCAAATTTGTGCGTTACGAACAGAGTTTTAATGAAAGAAATTATAGAAAATCTCTCTTCATCGGACGGCACAGATAGCATCTTTTGCTTTCATCAGCTTTCGATGACACAAAACTTGAGAATTGAGGTCAACAAAGTCGTGATGAAATTAGAATTATCAATGCGAAAGGAAGAAAAAATGAAAATGTTATGTTTCTAAAGGTAATTTGTTGAAGATAAATGAAGAGAAAGCTGCGAATGTTTCCAACGTTTATCTGATAAAGATCCCAAACAGTACTGGTCTTTCTCTCTCGTCAGTCTTGTCTTGAACCATTCTTTTCTTCCTTCGATTATCACTTGCTTTCAGCTTCATCAAAAGCGTTCTAGAGAACTTCAAGGAACCTGAATACCTGGCCACTCGCTTCTACATTATTCCTCTTGTAATTATATATAGAATATCACTTTTGTCTCTTTTTTCTCTCTTCCTAGCTGTCTATACTAAATTGAAGTAAATCACGAGCTTTCCGTTTACTCTCCTTTTGTGAAAATGAAATGAAGCCAAAACGGTCAGTTGAAACAGCTGGAGGGATTTCGCTTACTGTTCCGATTGCAAATTTCAGAACAATTTCTTTGGTATTTCTCCAAAAAAGTAAATAATTGAGAGAATAACGATCAAGGAAGTAAACTCCCAAGTCTGGTCTCTCTTTCTCTCTGGGTCTCCTTCTCAGTCTTTCATAGTTCGTTCTCTTAAATTCGAATTTACACGTTTTGGTTGTTGTCTTAAAAACTCTCTGTTATTCATTCGTCTCACGTAGCACACGATACAACAGTCCATCTCTTCTCTCTTTGTGATTGTCTGATTCTCTTATTGATCATCAGTTGTTACGTTGAATCCTAGGATTAAGAGAGCAGCTTCACGTCCAAGATATCGAAAGAAAGAAAGAGGAAAGAGAGGATTCGCAAGAAAAAAACGACAAAGAAAAATCAAGTTGTTTGTCCAGTGCTGTGGGTCACGTAAGAGATTCACATCATCTCTTTCTACACACATACACTCACAGACTCACTCACATAGAGATTCATAAACATTCAACAGAAAAGGAGAGAGAGGGAGAGAGACTAGGAGAGTGAGAGAGAGGTACACTGAGCTTTTCTTTTTGTTAAAAAACACGAAAAGTATATAGAGAGTACAGGAATGATGATGAAGCAAAGACAAACTGTGCGAAAAGCTTAAACCATTTCTCATAGAATCATAACTTCAATACGATTTCGGAAAAGATAGATGGGAATCTTAATTACTTCCATGGTATTATGAGTTTTTAATGAAAGTCTGTTGAATGATGACCAGCACAATCAAGTGCTCAGACAGCTTTTTCTCTTTCTCTTCTTCTGAACACAATTGGAAGTGTTAATTTTTTTTGAAAAATTGCAAGCAAATACGAAACCCTCGAAAACTGGAAAAATGCTATTTTTAAACCTGAAGACAAGCTCAGAAAAGGCAAATCGGCCATTCACAATTGATCGCGAGGGCGGCTTTCCAAAAATAATCAGAAAGGACAAAAAAATGGTATTGAGCTTCAAAAATATAGAAAGAGAACAGAAAACAGATCGGGATCGATCAAGGATATCATTGAAAACGTAACTTTATCGTTTCTTCCGGGTAATGTCTATCGAAGAATCAGTCAAGAAACATAAAGACGAAAAGCCACTGAGAAGCTAAACCTCAAACAGTAAATTGCTGACTGAGTTCGCACTGTTTGAAAAAAGTGAAATTTATCAAACGCCAGTCATCTGTTTAACAATAAAATAAGAAACTTACCAAAGTCGCTCGAAATATGAATTTTGCATGTAGGCGTTTAGAAACGAGTCTCCAAAAAAGGAAGAGGACGATTGTGGGGTCAAAGCCGAGGGTGTATGCTCCTGATGCATAAAAATGCCAGCCAAAGCCGGTGGTGGTTGGGGGGACATGACTTTTCTTGCCCCAGGCTATTAAGACAAGATTACAGAAGTCCGAACAAAAGCGTGTCGTCTTCCAGCAGAATCAGGTTAGAATCAGAGAATCTAGTAGTCTAATCACGGTATGGCCTTCAGAAGACAATATGAATGAACTTAGAAGGAAAAGTAGACGACGACAACGACAACGTGAGGAGGGAAGCGGAGCGGATGATGGCGCTCTCTCTCGTCCACTTTCTCTGTCCCTCTGGGGTGGACACAGGTGTGGCGACAACGACTGTTCAGACAGACCGATAGAGACAGAGAAACTCTCTCGTCATCTTTTCATCTCTTCACATTCTCTTCATTGAACAGTCTATTTCTTTGATTTTTTCTTCAATTCTACAGTGAAACGAACGGGGAGGAGCTCGATAACAACTAGTCGATAGCCATCATCATATGAGAATAACGACGCCGACGAAGCCTTCGCAAGGAGAGGCTAACCAGTGGCTCTGTTCTGTCCAAATTTAGACTATACTGTCTGTCAGTCTCAAACTGTTCGCTTTATGGATGCGGAGTTTGAGAGGGTGAAAGACATAGAGAGCCAGAATATAAAATAGGAATCGCGAAAAAGAAAAAGAATAGTGGAGAAAGCTGGCTGTCCTTTCAGATGCGTGACAACACTGAAAAAGGAGTCATTGCTAGTCTACAGGCTACAATGGAGAGATATAGATTCTTCAAAATACTTACAATAGCTGTTGAGGTTGACGCAAAAAAAAAACAAAAAGTATGCGTAAGAATCTCTAATGCATTAGAAGCATAGGTTCTACCCATCATCTAGTTCTCTAACGGTTAATTATACGAGGGAAAGCAAGCCAGAAGCAAAAAATTTATCTCATCATCCTTTAGCAGGATCCGGATCTGGCAAACGTTTGAGGATTTGGGAGAAGCTAAAAATAACATCTAACCACAAAAACGGAGATGAATGAAAGCACAGAAATAGAAGAGAAGCCAGGAGCTAGCTATCATCAACCTGTTGTTATTTTGGATCAAAAACTTGTGCCAACGAACTAAAATAATCAATCATTTGGGAACGGCTCAATGCTCGTTCTCATCAATTTCAAAAAGAAGATTGCAGTTTTCATCTTCTGTTTCACATTCATCTCATATTCGAGCTGGATGTGGATAAAAATGACCTCAAAAAATCAGAATAGAAACGACAGACGTGAACATTGTGAGAAAGGTCGTAAAGCAGAGTCAAGAATGAAGGAATGAATGGCGTATATGACCTGTGAAATTTCGGGAAGAAAAATGAAAATAATTCCATATAAATTAGAATTATGAGTAAGGAATCAATAAGAAATACAAATATCCAAATATGTTATGAGGAAAACAGGACGCTTAATTGAGAAGACGAACAGCAAACAGAGATGATGATGGTACACATTTGAGCATGTTTAACTTAACACGTCACAGCTCATTTATTTCAAAGTTACAAGAGAAGTTAATTTCCCTCCTTATTCTATGAGAATTATTGTTTCTCCTCTCTATCTTCAATTCGTTTTTCTCTTTTATACAACCATATGATGCAAGGAAAACGATGGCTTCATGCTCAACTAGTGAAGTAGGATAAGCCGCTTTGTCATTCGCAGCACGTTAAGTTTACACTTTGACAGAATGAAGTCTTAATTATTGAATTGTCTATGAATTCATTACAATTATTCAGAATGATAGAGACCGAATATGGCCAAACAGGAATTTCTAACGGAAAACTGATTATGCAAATCGATGAATAGATAGGTGAGACAATCTAAACAAACAACGCACTAAGTGGACAATATTTTATTTTAAAAGTATAAATGTATTAGGAGAGACAGAGAGAGATATGCAGCAAGATAGAAAGAGAGAGAGACTTTTCAAAAGAGACAATACTTTTATGGAGAAGCATCAATTGAAGGTTTTTTCTCCCCTCTCAAGAACACGGCTATACTATGAAAGAAGAATTGGAAAGATGGAATGAACGACACCTGAATGCGTCTTCAGCAATAAACAAATCCATTCCTCTCTCTCTCTCTATCTCTCTTTCTCTTTTTCTCTTTTCTAATCTCTCTCTATTCAAGAGAATTTAGTGAAGAAGAAAAATATTAAAATTCAAATTTCATGAATCTTGCCAGAATATTTTGAAAAGTTCGATGAATCAGGAAGAACAATATGATCTTCTCATTGCACGAAAACATACGAAGGGCAATTTCTCGAGAAAACTGATAGTCAAAAATGTTTTTTCTTCGTAGCAGAAAAAGCGGAGAAGAACAAAAAAACCATAAAAAAAAGAGGAAAAATAAAAAAGAAACGTACATCAGAAGATCTGAAATGCTCCAACGTTTTCTGTTTGGGAATATACCAATCGGAGTGGTGATGAGCATTATTAGTTATAAGTAATAATCAAATTAATGATAAAATCATAAACAGTACTGAATTTATCAGGGGGAGGGGGAGAGTAGGAGGCGTGAATTGAATAGCAAAGGCCAGTACTACGAATTGAGGAGGAGGAGGCAATGAGAGAGAAAAAGAACACAACATCCAAATCTGTTCGAATTCAAAGCGAATTTTTATTATCAAAAGTCTACCGACCAATCCTTACAAATGACGTAAATACCATAT